TTTGCACACAGTGATTTCTTTGTTGTCTTGGAAAACAAAAGTCAGAGATTCAGTTCATCATCAGATGAATAAATCTTCACACTTGAGAAGCTGTAACCAGGGATACTTTTTAGCTTGAAGGCAAATAAATCATTTACTGATTGATTTTCTATGATGCACACGATTGATTAATACATTGATTCTGCTCACATTTTTTCAGACTTGAAATGAACAGGATACGAATCCATGTTTTGCCCTCGAGTCGGAACCGGGTGACCCAGACACCTCGACCTCAGGAGCCCCAGGGCTGCTCCTTCACCCTGCGTCCTTGTTCTCAGCCTCGTCTGGAAGGCCTGGAGTTCTGCATCAAACACATTCTGGAGGACAAGAATGCACCGTACAAGCAGTGCAGCTACGTCTCTGCCAAGAACGGCAAGCGCTGCCCCAATGCTGCCCCGAAGGCTGAGAGGAAAGATGGGTGGGTGGAAGGTCAAAGTTTCATCTCCGTTTACAACAGCTATAAACCTGTTAAACCTATTTCTTGTTCACTGTGAGTCTCAATCTGTAACTTCAGTCTCTGGAGGACAGGAGCCACAAATATTAGACCTCAGTAACAGCAGCTTTCTTACATCTTTTTTTCCCCAATGCCTGTTCTGCAGAGTGACGTTCTGTGCAGAGCATGCTCGCAGGAATGCCATGGCTCTCCGAGCTCAGATGAGAAAGGCTTCTTCCGGTCCTTCCCCAGAGACTCTATTATCTCAGCTTAGTGGATACAACCGTGCAGAGACACACAGCCTGGATGGAGGACGCTCTGAAGCCAGCCGTGTTCTTGGTAAATTGCCTTGTTTTAGCTCGAAAATGCTGAACCGCAGACATCTCAGTGAAGCTAAAAAGCCATGTTAGGGTTTAATGTGTCTGTGTGTGTAAAAGGCAACTTAAAAGCTCAAAGTTACCTAAAAAGGTGAGTTCCTTGCCTTAAATGCCTCATGCTTCCAGACCTGGCTTTTCTTCCTTTAATTATTTAACATCACCATGTGGCACATTTGCAGACGTTTGGCCTCACACAAACCTTGCAGTCCACCATTATTTTGTCACTAGAGAAGCTTATTTAAGGGCTATATCCTATGCTCAGAGGTCCAGGGTTATGGGATGTAACCAACCCTGACTTGCTCGTGTTTTATCTGTGAAAGATAAGATAGAGTAGACTGAACTTTTCAGGAGAGTGACCTGAAGGAGACATGAGTAAAACAGCCTTTCAGACAGAGGGAGAAAGACTTGCTGCAGTCATGTACAGCAACAAAGAACTTGATTTTGAAAAAATACAAATATATGCCTGCAAATGTGAAAAATATGGGCTGCTTACTGTCATGTGCATTAATGCTGTTCAGGTGATATCTGTATTGGTCTGTAAATGTGAGTATTTAATTTGTTATGATGTTTGTATACACGTGATTCTCTTTGAAGACGACGACAGTCTGAGTGAGGAGGAGCAGGGACCTTTGGTACTGGACCAGACATGGAGAGGAGACCCAGACAGTGAGGCCGACAGTGTCGACAGCGATCACGAGGACCCTCTTAAGTAAGCTGACCTATCTGGTCATTTTTCAAGTTTGGAAATTGAGATCGGTTATCTGTGACTGTAGGAAACAGACAGAAAGCTGTGCGGTAATCAAAATGCTTTATGATCTTTTACTTCCAATCTGCTCCCCATGTTGCTCTGAGGCTTGACAGCAAAGTCTGTAGTAGTTTAAAGTACAGCGTGGATTGAATGTCCCACTGCAGACAACATGAAGGGAAGGAACCAGTACTTCAGAGTCATACTTCTTATTTTATGACTGATGGCCTGAATTTACCCTGAAGCTATTACTGTTGTCCCATTTCATGTCACACACTAACTCTGAGCTGATTTTGAATATACTGCATGTTCATGCTGATAAAGTACAATGAGTGTGCAAACAACAAACAAGGTTTTTGAGTGTGCTGTTGATGGACAGGATTTTCCACAGTTCACAGAAGAGCTGGACGAGCTTCCTACAGCAGTCAGAAAATGTTCTGGAATGGCTGCGAAAAGATTTAGTGCTTTATAACAAATCTAAAATGTTTGGGAAAGCATTTCGTTCCTCTGTTATGTTAAATCAGCAGTTACTGACAGGAACAAAATAGAGATTATTTTCTGTGTGTTGTTAAACTATGTATTATTTAGATTTCTTGTATACTAATACCAAAAACAATATATTATGGCATCAACCTGAGTCGTACCCATTGTGTGTAATTGTATAAGATAAAATACCTTGATTTAAGATTTTTCGCGGAGCACTAGTTGGACCTCGTTTGACGACTTGAGTAGAGCTGATGTTTTTTTTCACTCCTTTTTATTTGCAGACATGCAGGCGTGTACACAGCAGAGGAAGTGGCACTTATCACTCGAGAAAAGCTCATCAGGCTCCAGTCGCTTTACATCGACCAATTCAAACGCCTGCAGCACCTGCTGAAGGAGAAAAAGCGCCGATACCTGCATAACCGCAAAGTGGAGCACGAAACTCTGGGTAAACATACGACTAATTGCTTAGCTAATTGTGTTTACAGAGTCCTGCCCCTGCATCCGTCAGTGATTATCTGTACGTCGTTGTTTATGACAGGGAGCAGCCTGCTGACAGGGCCTGAAGGTCTGTCCACAAAGGAGAGGGAGAATCTGAAGAAGCTCAAAGCTCTGCGTCGTTACCGCCGTCGGTATGGTGTGGAGGCTCTGCTGCACCGGCAGCTGAGGGAGAGGAGGCAGGCGGTGACGGAAGGAGCTCCTCAGGTGGGACCGTAGGAAAAGAAGTAAACATTTGACTACAAACTACTATCAGAGTCAGTTTACCTCCCTTA